TATGTGGGTTGAACACCACCTTGTGTATCTAATGTGATTTTTAGGTGCATGCCTCTTTTCTCTCTCTTTTTCTGGATGTGTTTTTGCTAATTTTTTGCCTCTTATTGCATGAAATGTGTGGCGTTTGTGCCCTAACTATGAGCAGGACAAAACTGATGTCATATGGACAGACACAGGAGAGGGCTCTACTTACCAGGTATTACGTTGACCGTGGGTATATCTCATTAGCCTAATAAAGTATTTTACCCAGTAAATATTGGACATATAATATACATTACATTGGTATGCACAGGAATGGCTTCCATTTTGTGAGTAATATCTTGCATATATTGATTCAAGTTAGTCTTTGCCTGTCTATGATGTTAACTATTTTGCATGGTTTGCAGTGTTTGCTGAATTTGCATGGTTTAACTTATTTCAATGTAGACTTTCAACTTCATCAGTTACTGTTTCTCTTATAGATATTGAAGATGAAAAAACTACCTCACCACAATCCCTGCCATTTAAACCCCTCAAACAACCCACAACAACTTCAGCCTCAAGTCAACCCCTAGACCGTTCTAAGTCTGCCCCAGCCTCAATAAACCAAGGAGTGTCCCCAATTGAAATTCCTGCATTGATTGAATCCTCTCTACTTCAACCCTTGAAAGTGGGTGAACCCTCTCCAGATCCCTCTGATGACACCTTCAGATCTCAGTCCCAAGGACCGGCAGATCTGACATCGGCTTGCTTGCAAACAGATGCAGATGCTCCTATCCCAAGCGCTCTTTCCTCTCAGGAACCATTCTCTAGTGCTGTGCCCGAGGACCATGAAGTGATAGGCAACATTGTTCCAGGCGATTCCGGCAGTCTGATAGACGTGGATTTGGGGAAGAATATCACTTCCTCTGGGACTGTAGCAGCAGAATCTCCCTCTATTCTTTTTAACCCAAGGTCTCAGATTCAAACGCTGGATCAGGAAGTGGACATGGACATTTCTTCCAATGCAAAACCAGAAGCTGGCCATGACTTTTCTGATCAGTTCCAGAGAGACCAAGGTAGTATGATGGAGGATGTTTCAGGGGCTCAACCACAACTCATGCCTGTTCCAGAATTTAACCTTGAACCCTGTCATGCTGAGCCAGCCATTTCTTCTGTCCATTCAGACACTGCGAGTGTAATACCCTGTGAAAGAGAACAGCAAGAGACCGAGAACATCCCTTCCTTGGCTCGAGCCCTTAAGGAGCTTCATAAACTTCTGATGTCCAACACTTGTCCAACAGTTTCTGGAAGGATTCCTCTATCTGATGCTAATGATACTACACCAAGACAAGATGTTGTTGAAGTGGACCAGGATCCTGCTGCAACAAACCATGTCACTCTGAACCCAACTATTGACTCATCCTCTAATACTGCCACAGCTAATGACATGGAAGAAAGTGTTGCCAAAGCTGACTTCACTTCTCAATCAGTGGGAGATATTCCAGATGTACCAACACCAAGCAATCCAGGGCACACAGAGAACCAACCTTCTAGACAGGTAAATCCCATAGTGGAACAAAAGAATGAGTGCCCTTATGCGGCTGAAGAAAATCGGGCCATTGTTATTGAAGAAGGTTCTGGGCCGGTGACGACTTCCCAAGGAGATCTTGAGTTCCCTGAGGGTCAGCAAGGGCAGGACATTGTGGACAAAAACACCTCAGGCATTGACATCTCTGCTGACCTGTTTCAGCAGCGCCCGCTTTCTGTAGCAGCTGGCTCATCAACCAATTCCAGCCTAGGGCCTGTTGCATCTCCTCAAACTGAAACCACTGAGACGGTTCCTCTTTTCCTTGGAGACACCATTCAACCCGCACCACAGCCCTCGATGGGACAGTTTCCACTAGAGCACATTCAGAGGATCCAGGCATCAGGGTTTTCAGCCCTTGAGGCTGCAGAGGCACTGGAACAGGCTCAAGGCAGCGTGGAGCTTGCCTTATTGGTGCTGCTTGCAAGAAAGATCACTGTGCCCTCATAGACTCAGAATCTACTCTTATTGGTGGCATCAGTTAACATATGAGCCTTTTTTCATCCTGTGGTTTTACTTTAGCAGTCCTTGTGGTTTTGTACTGTGGTTGTGTCGTCTTCTGGCTCTTCTACTTTGCCAACATACATGTTTAAAAAATAGATTTGTGAGAAGCTGGCCAGATTTCCCTTTCAACAGAACGATGATGTCTGTGCAGTCTTTTTTTTTTTTTTTTTTTAAGTTTTG